AGTTGTACTTACGTACAAATTACTTGTAATCTCGAATTCTAAGTAATATGCATCAATAAACAGTACTTCATGCATAAAAAATGAGTTTAAAGAGTTTTTATCAAATGTTTTATAATATAATATAGATAAAATGATTTCAAATGTAACTAACCCTTTATTAATAAAAACAAAATGCATTAAAATGCAAGAATTTTGTTTAAGTTTATGAATAATTTTTTTTCCTCAATTAATATAACCAACCATTTAATTCATCACGTTCCACGCCCATTTGGTCATTTAAAAGTATTCGTGATTAAAAGTTTTCAACTTATATATAATATTAATTGACTTTAATTAATAAAAAAATTATCATATAAGTTTACATGATTTCTACGTTAACAATTGCGACAAGCACTAATAGAAATTAACCAGAATGGTGGTGTCTGATTGGTTTGAGCTTGGCTCCAAAGGTAAAAAGTAACAGGAGGTCTCAGGTTCAAATCCAAGAAAGAATAAAAATTTTCTTATGGCCATGGAGGTTCAAATACGGTGACTCTAGTCTATCTGCAAAGTAGGTGGTCGCCCTGGGATTAGTCAGCTCCCATATCGGGTTGGATATCCAGGTTAATAAAAAAAAAAGCACTAATAGAAATTGGGCTTATACCAACGGAAGTTTCTGATTGGAAATCCTTGTCGGATTTCCTAAAAAACATTTTTTTTTTTACTAATTCTATAATTCTGATGGAACTTCATCAAAAAAAAATGTTAGAATTTTCCTACGGAATGCATTATATGAAATTAAAAGATGGTTTTATAACTAGAAAAAAAAAACGAACTTTATTATTAGGGAAAAAAAAGATTCACTGTTACCAGAAAGCAAAATTTGTGTTATTTTGATGCAATTTGACCAAATTATCACATGTCAGAAATAAAACATGCAATTTTCTGGGAAACATCATACATGGTAGGCCTTATTTTTGGGTTCGAATTCACACATCTTATTGCTATGATCAAAATCGATGTTATAACTTTCTTCATTTTTGGGCTGGGAACCGGAAGACGATGATCCAACAAATCCTTGACCTCAATGTTTTCAGTCGACGATGACGTTAAAAAAGTAATTAGATCACCTGCATGCTCTCCTTTCATCACTTCTAACGTTAGAACCCCGAAACTATAAACATCACACTTTTCTGTTACCTTCATGGAACAACCAAGTTCTGCAAACAATATATCGATAAAAATGCGTTGAGATATATGAAGCTACTTTAAATCTTTCTTTAGAATAGCTCTTTTAAAAATATGACACACTACGATAAAAATCAATTTTATATGAACAAAAAAACGTGTTTCCTAAAGAAAGGTGTTGCAATATGATGTTAGCACTTTTTGTTTATTCTAATAAATTTTTAGGACATTTTTCAAAAACACGAAATATTAGGTTTTTTATAGGATATCTTTGAGAAGTGTGTCATATATATATATATATATATATATATATATATATATATACTAGAAATGTACTCGCGCAATGCAGCGAAATACATCTCGATTTTAATATTTCGTTTTATTTTGTCCCTTGTCGATATTATAATATGGTTTTATTTAGTTTTGAGAAGAACGATAATGTTTTTATTTTTGAATAAAATATAAATTTGAAGATATTTTAAGTTTTTTTAAAAAATATATCGATATTAGTATCAAATTAATTATTTAAAAGTTCTTGTTTTGTTGTGTAATTTCTTTAATTCAATTTTTTTATTATAATTTAATTTAGGTTCAATAAGAAAGTAATTTATTTTTGATTTAATAATATAGTTTTTTATAAAGATAATTATCCCAATTATATTTAAAATAAAATATTTATCCAATATTTGATTATATTTATGTATTAGTTAGTTACACGAATTCAAACATAAAGCTTTAATAAGTTATTGTACTTATTTATTATTTACTTGTAAATTATAATCTTGAATTTTAAGTAATATACATCAATAAATAATACTTCATATATAAAATAATTTTAAAGAGTTTTTATCAAATGTTTTATAATATAGTTTTTAAGATGTTTTAAAACCTATATTCTTATCGTAAGTTCTATGAAGTTGGTTTGATGGTCTATCTCAACTCTCAAGTTAACATGGGACAAAAAATTACCTGGTGCAAGGTATCCGTACGTTCCGGCAAGGTTACTCCAGTTAGATGACTCGAGATTCAAAATCTTGGACGTGCCAAAGTCCGAAACACACGCTTCACATTCCGAATCGAGCAAAATATTTTTGCTCGATATGTCTCGATGAACAATTGGGGGTGAACAGTCATGGTGCATGTAAGATAAAGCATGAGCGACACCTTTGATAACGTTCACCCTCTTGTTCCAATCGAAAGCTTGAGCAACTTCGTCGTTGTTCAAGCTTTCAACCAAACTACCCCCTTCAAAATACTCGTAAACCAGAAGCGAGTTTTGAGCGTGCGAACAGTACCCATGTAGTTTCACGATGTTTCGGTGTCTTATTCTCGTCAATGCCCTAAYTTCKTTMAGAAAATCAWCRCGATTCACCATTTCTGAGGACGAATGAAGTCTCTTCACCGCAACTGTTTCACCCGATGCCATATTCGCTTTGTATACACTCCCGCATCCTCCTTTTCCGATGCAATACGCTCCATTGAACTCCCCGGTTGCCTTCAGGATTTGATTGTAAGTCTTCCTTCCATCAAAAGTAGAAATCGAAAAGAAATCTTCGCCATTTTTATCTTCATCGTCCATCGATGGCCTTTTCTTTCTCCAATAAAAGATGAAAATTCCCGAAAGACCACAAAATAAAAACGCTCCAAGAAGTGAAAGGGAAATCAAAAGCACAAGTTTATGGTTTCGATTTCGGGTTTGCGTTATTGATCTACATCGCKGCAATCCGTTAACATTACCGCACAAACCTYTGTTCCCTTCTAYCGAAACATTCATMAAGCCTTTGCTAAMGGGAMTCGGRCCTTCCAACTGGTTATACGAGAGATCAATGCTCCATAATGCGTTCATTGATTCCATGGTCTTCGGAATATAACCAGAMAGTTGATTGTGAGAAAGATYGAGCGTCTCCAAACTAKTSAGACTTGARAGMGAAGATGGTATCTCKCYRGTGAGCGAATTATGACTCAGATCAAGAWCAKATAAGTGAAACAATCKACCGATTTGAACYGGGATYTCRTGAGTAAATYYGTTGTTGCTCAAGTTTAAGTGAAAGAGTTTTGAGCAATTCCCTAAAGAAGATGGAATCCGCTCATTAAACTTGTTCATCGACAGATCAAGATACGAGAGTTCATCTAGCGATCCTAGATTCATCGGCACGACACCAGAAAGCTGGTTATTGCTTAAATAAAGGTTCACCAGGCCAGATATCCTTCCAAATTCTTTCGGTATCTCTCCGACCAAATCATTAGAAGAAAGATTAAGTACTTCTAGTTTTGGTGAGTTTCCGAAAGAAGGAGGTATATTGCCACTGATTCGATTCCCTCCCATCTGCATMGTGGTYARGTTTCTACACTTACTCCAGTTGTTAGAGAGTTCCCCRTRAACCTTATTATCGTTRAGATTGATGTAATTGAGATGCRSATAGACACCRAAGCTYTCSGAAAKATCTCCGGTGATCTGGTTTCCATCAAAACGTACTCGAATCAAACTCGAACAGTTGTACAAACTMYTYGGAATTYGACCWGTRARATTATTATYWCCAACTARRAGCMTCTYAAGTKTCCCTCYGYYRCAGATTTTATCMGGCAAACTACCRGAAAARCTGTTGTTRGTAATTTCTATTASARTCAGCTTCAGTTTTYCCATTTCTTGTGGAAWKRRACCAGAWAATTGATTKTYMCTWAGAGAMAATMTTTCTAAAYTYTSTAGWTTAYCAAAYGAAGRTGGAATGGAACCRTTGAGTTGRTTGMYMCCYAATTSCAGAKWAGAAAGGGATATCAWATTTCCTAACKCTTGCGGWAGKGGACCAGAAAGTTTGTTCGAGTRKAGACGAAGAAGAYRRAGRGAYYYGAGYTCACCTAAAGACYSWGGAATCGGACCRCTGAGATTGTTCATTTGGAGCTCCACCCATCGGAGGGACTTCAATTTGCCAATATCTGTGGGGATTGATCCATTTAAATGATTCTCGAAGAGAATCAAGACGGTTAGCTTCTTCAGATTGACAAAAGTTGTGGGAATAGAACCAGTAAGATAGTTGTTGTTCATATGAAGCTCTTCAAGATCAGAAAGATTTCCCAGTTCATAAGGAATGGAACCAGAAATGTTGTTATAATTGAGATAAATATAACTCAATTTAGACAACTGACCCAAACAAGTAGGAATAGAACCGGAAATCGTGTTGTTATACAAAGCAAGCTCAGAAAGGAACCTCATCTCGCATATGGCTCGCGGAATCGAACCCTTGATCAGCTGATTATCAAACAAGTGAAGGGTGACAAGATTTGTTAAACGTCCAATTTCCGGTGGGATTATCCCGGAGAATTGATTAGAAGAAAAATCAAGATACACGAGGTTTACCAGGAGACCGATCTCAGATGGGATGATTCCAGAAAAGTAGTTTAAACTAAGTTCCAAATGTGTAAGGTTTGGAAACGATGAAAACGAGAAGTGTTGTAGAGTACCGTTTAAGGAAGAAGACGAAAGGTTCAACCTGGCAATGGTGCCATCGGAATTGCAGGAAATCCCATACCAGTTGCATGGCGATGACGTTGTTTGATGGGTCCATGAAGGAAGTAAGATGGTGTGGTTTTGGGTTTGGAGGGTTGATTTCCATTTGAGGAGAGCATTAAGTTGATCATGGGAAGAACTGGGATGAGCAAGACATGGGATACAGAAAAGGGTAGCAAATAAGAGTGTGATAAAAGGGAAGAAGGTGGGTTTGTTGATGATGATAAGAGGTGCCATTGCCATGGCTTGTGTTTAATTCATTAGGAACAATGCTGTTGATGCCATTTATAAATATTGTTAAAGACATAAGTAATTGCGTTTGGAGTCCTCCACAAATTAATTAATTAACCACAATTTTCCAGCCGCAACAGGGCTGTAAACGAACCGAACGAACACGAAAGGAGACTTGATCATGTTCGTTCGTTTAACTTAACCGAACACGAACAGTAAACGAACGAAAATATTTGTTTTTGTGTTCGTTCGTTTAGAAATAAGGTGTGTTCGTGTTCGTTTATGTTCGTTTGTTAACATGTTAAACGAACGGGTTAAACGAACATAAATAAATATTATTTGAATTCAAAGTAAATAAATAAAAGATTATATATTAAATTTAATATATAAATTAACATAAACGAACGGTAAATGAATGACCGAGACTCTTGTTCATGTTTGTTCGTTTAACTAAACGAACAAAATAATTGTTCATATTCGTTCATTTATTAAATAAACGAATATAAACAAACTTTCCACCGAACGGTTTGCTGAACGTTCGATTCGTTTACAGCCCTAGCCACAACCGGAAAGAAGAGTTTTTAAAGTAGAAAGATAATCTGGGAGCCAAGAATTGAATCGAAGGCTTCGTGTTTCTAATCCCATGTGCTTGGTAAAGTGAGTGGACGAATTAATTATATATTTGGAGCCAAAGAAAAAGGAGCAGCAACGACTTTCTATTTTCCCACTTGAAAATATGCAGAAAGTGTGAGTAGATATATATATACATATCGCAACCACCAAACTTTGATTTTTTTTTTCCTTTGTTGGGTCATGTTATTAAATATATGTCGACTTTTATCTTAAATTTTAGTATTTGATGAAAATTAATTATGTAATAATTTATTTTTAAATCGGTTTTTATATATGTGTTTGTAATTTTTTTGTGGTTCTCATTTTTTAGAACTCCGCATATTATGATAACTATGAGAACTATTATCATAAGATATTGTTTTTACATGATATTTTTCATTTAAGTCTATTAATATATTGACCAACGTCTATTACTAGCTATATACATACACACACATATATAACGAAAGGGGGGGGGGAACCAACACATATATACACATATATGTATAAACACATACAAATATAGATATACAAACACATATACATATGTATCCCCATACATGCATACATATACTATAACATATGTATACACACGTATATATATATATATATATATATATATATATATATATAACACATATACATACATATGTATACATATAACACATACACATGAAAAACAAAGAAATATAAATATTTTCGTTGGTAATTAGCGACCGACCTACGGATTACCGACGGACATGTGAAATTTCTTTTTTAATTTTTTTACATGAAACCCATGTGTCTATCGCTAATTACCAATGAACATGTGGAGTTTTAATCTATTTATGGTAAGTATGTATTGGATTGAAAAAAGATTAAAAAAAAAGCGACTTGTAGGATAGATGTGGAGTATGAAAAAAAAAAGAAATATGGAACTTAACGACACTGGCCAAGACTGGTAAGGGACCGAGTTGATGCCGGGCCTTTATGTCTCAGGCTGTCGTCAAAGCTATCCACTCATAGGGACTGTTGTTGGTCTCAAAATAAATGTCTATATTTTTATTTTAGTTTTTTTTAATAAGTGTTCGTTAATTATGAGATAAAAAAAAATTCACTAGTCTCTGTAATGTTAAAAGATAAAATTATTATTTTTCTATTTTATCTTTATTTTGTTGATGCAAATACTTTTTTGGCGGATTCATTGTATATGTCTAGCATTTTTTTCTGGTGATATGATGAATAAAATGGAAGATTTGGTTTTAGTAGTCTCCCTTTAATCAAATGGAAGACTTTGCTTTAGTTCATGACAACTTTCCTAACTCATAATTATAATTATATATATATATATATATATATATATATATATATGGTTGGGTTCACGTGAGACCAAAGGTTTTTCGTGAGACTCGTAAAACCAATTTATGCTCATTGATCAACTTTATAAGTCAATGATCTAACGGTCTAAATTATATGGTGGCAATTTTGTGATTATTAAGAAATCTCGTGGCGTTTATAAATGTTTAGATTGTCAGATTATAGATCTAATCCAAGAGTTGAGAATTGGTCTCACGAAAAACCATTGGTCTCACATGATCCCAAGTCTATATATATATATATAAACATGCTTACAAGCATTTGTGGGTGTTTTGTCGATCGAAAACCTAGAGTTGACGAAGGAGATCTTAATCGTAATCTTAGAGGAAGAATCATCTCAAACGCATCTCGATCTTTAATATCTCTGCAAATCGATCGGTACGTATGGATTTCTATCAAAATTGTTTATGAGAATTTATAGTATAAATTTAAGGGTTGTTTACCAAAACTTGTAGACAAGTGCTGATTAGAGTAAGATGTCTGTTTGAAGTAAATGTTGATTAAAAATTTAATGTTTACCATATGTTTTGTATCAAGCGTCGACCAAGTAAAAATTACTATTATACCCTATACAGTAATACATCTCGGAACCAAATCAAAGTCATAATATATCAAGATCTTTGACGATACATTTAATGTTATATTTTTTCTAATACTAATAAATTGAAATATTATAGATCAATGTGAACGTTACCAATATTTTTTTTTATTAATAATTATAATAAAAAGAAAATTGAAATATTAAAAATTGGTTGATAATGATAAAAGCTATTGTCACCGAGCCACTAACACACTAACATAGAAATGGAAAAAGATGGTTTGAAAAAACCCACTTCTACCTTTTTATTCCACTAATTCCTAACCTAAATCCCATTAAATTTTCTTCATTCTTTCTATCAGTTCATACTTTGGGAGGGGTTGAAACCAAAATGATACCCACATACACGAGATGTGCGACATTTATGGAGTCATGTTGGTAAGATATGAACATCCATCACTTGTAGTTGGAAGTTTTTTTTCTTTCCAAAAATAATGGGTATAAGGGTATAATCGGGATAGTGACCTCTTAGTCTGGGGAAAGAGGACGGCAGCAATAAGATTATGGTAATAGTCAACTTTCTTTTTGGTAAACAAGTCATCTCTTATGAAGGTAAGAGCTTATTATAAGCAAGTAAACAAGCCCTTAGTCTTTCCGTCGAGTTTGCAACAAAAACTGAAATGAAAGATGTGTTTTTCCAGCTATACATCAATTATGAAGTTGAAACATCGGATTGAGAATAATCAATATGTAATTTGATCTCACATTTTATTTAACCTATAGATTCGATGGTGACTAATATCCGAAACCTTAAGCCAACTAATTTCTTTGTCATGCAAGGTTAGGATGTCAATACACCAGAAGAATGAGTGAATAAACGATATATTCCTCAATAACATCATAAAATTTTACACAACTACTCAAACTTGTCAAAGAAAAAAACTTTAACTGCTGCAAAACTAGTTATACGTAAAATAAGAATGCATAAACCAAAATAACTCGGAAATTTTCAACTAAGATTTATGAGATTTTATACGTGCGAGGACTGGTGCAACACCGCTACCAAACCGAGCCTTGATCATCCAAACAAAACCATTGAAAGAGGGTCAGAACTAACGGCTATCAGCAACATGTGCAGCAACAAACAATCTACCAAGATAACGGCAAATCACTTCACAGCTAACTCAACGACCTCGACTACTGTACCATCATTTAACTAGCATTAGGTTAGGACATTTTACGAGCTAATTACTTTCACAGCCAGCTATATCTAAAGCAAATACCCTAACATTTGTCCAATGAAAAGGGTGAAGTCTAACCAAGATTCGGATTTTATCTTTTTTACCGTGGTTTCTGGCACCTTTCAGCCAATGGACCCTAAAGAAATTGATGGCATCTGTGGGATTTCAAACCTGAGACTTGTAAAAAAAACCAGCTCCCAAGCCTTACTCGCTTGTCACGGTTTTGGAATAATGAACAGCTAACACCTCTCACAGCATAGCAGCTTACAAATTAGGTTCAGCATAACGAAAATCAGGTGCTGCAGATAACTGCATCGGCTACCAGTAAAGAAGGCAATATCAACTTCAACCATCTTTTTAAGTCATCCAGCTACTACAACCCCTTTTATGGCTTAAAAACAAAGTAAGCAAAAGTAAGAATAATGATATCAAGCCAAGAGTCAAAATCATCCTAATTTGACTTCAGCATTAAGGTGTTTGACTCTTACCGCCCACAGTATCTCATGATAACTGTGTCACATATTGTGCAACCAGCAAGAAAAGACATCAACCTTGTATATTGTGCAACCAGCAAAGCAAACAGCATAAGGGCTGCTGCACCAGTTCAACGGCAGCAACATAAACTCTATAGTCCATGTCAAAAAACTTCAGTTTTCAAAATGATTATATATTAATATGCATGCATAAATCATAATATAACACACCCATAAATATCGTTAAGGAAAACTCTTCACATAACATCCCTGAAGAATTGAAGACGGTTCAGATGGCATAAAACCAAGCAAGAAATCCATAGTGCAAAATCAACAGCCGAACATAGAAGAGCACATATGCAAGGGGTACAACAGAAAAAAGTTAACCTTAAAAATATGCATGAGGAAACGAGTTCAAGAATTCATCCAACTCATCACAAAACGAAACAAAGCTCTTCAATTGATGCCGACACATGCAATATCGACATGGCCTAGTTCCCATTTCATTCCTGTAATGCAAAATTTAAGGAAATCAGCATCACTGAGAAAACCCAACCAAATATTTTCAAAAGATCCTATATACTCACATCAGCATCAGAACGTTGTGGCGATGGGCTTCGAGAGTCGGCTCTGCCACGTGGTGAAACACTTTTTGGAGTAGCTGAGCGCTCTTTTTCAATGCGTGCTACAGGGCTCCTGCTCCTTGAAGGAGGCGTTCTGCGTGGAGATGGGCTCCTTCGAGGGCTACCACTACGACGGGCAGGAGAAATGCTTCTAGAAAATCCCATATATTATATATCAGATCCTTGACACAACACATAGAACAGCAATAAAAAAGAGCGGGTTCGGGGTGGGGTGGGAAACCATATGACAAAGGCTCAGATAGAACAAAAGCAATTCCAATCAAGCTTGGACTTCAATTCTTAGTTAAAATCAAACCAGCATTAATACCAATATCTAACTCAAAATGTGGATCCAGTTTGGTTCAAATCTAATTGATGTTTCAAGAATCATGCTATCGACGTTTCGAGAAGTGCTCAAGATAATAATCCCAGACCTGCTAAAAGAAGTGGACTCTTGTAGTCACTATCTGAGATTTTATTGTCATTACAAAAGGAAAAGTTTGTATCCATATATAATGCTACATGAGTTCCCATCTTTTAGTACTGTATTGCTAGTATAATCATCTTTTACCGGTACAAATAGCATGAGCATATAACTGCAAAATTGCAAGTGAAGCACTGATGCTCATAAACATTTTCAAAGGCAAATTACTAAATCATCTCAAACTATTCAAATACTTAACCAAATAGAAACAATAATTGAAAACATAACCAAATAGAAACCATGACTAAAATCAATTCAAAAAAACGGTTCAAACCCTATAAAAAATTAAAAGTTGCATAACCAAATTGAACCATATATGTTCTGTTCTCAAGATGTAACTGCAGCATAAAAAGCATTTGCATACCTGTTAGGAGATCGACTTCGCCCCTTCTCATCGTCATATCTTCCTCTCCTGCGTTCTTTGCGATAGTCAGGACTTCTGCTGCGACTTCTACTGCGGTGGCGTTCCCTGTCCCTTCCTCGATGCCTTTCATGATCAGACCTGTCCCTGCTTCTGCTACGGTTTCTCCGCCTGTAATCCTTGTCCTTATAATCATCTCTATGCCTGGAACTACATTCACAACATTGCTAAGATACAACAAGAATTGTTCGTATAGCATGTAAATAACCAGCATACCAGCTACAATAGAAATACAGAAAAAAACAACCATGAATAAATAACCAGCATACCAGCTACAATAGAAATACAGAAAAAACAGCCATGAATGATAGAATCGAATTCAGAAATACTATTTGGTAAACATACTTCATGATCGAGCAAGTGCAATCAAAATTTGAGTAAAGCTCTTAACATTACAAGTTAAAAACATAGATTCACCGGCACTCATGCATAAGGCTCCCAATTTGAAGCATTGAAGTTAATATAACACCAGTGGGTACTTAACAGTCAACACATTACCAAATCTCTTTGACATGCCAGTTTTGGAGTGGTGGGGCCATGTAGCAACATTTTTTGTTCTTTTACAATATCTACAAACTTCTTCCAAAATACAATGGAAAACCATGTCTCCATTGGGACGGACCATGCATATTTCAATACCTATCAGATAAGCCTATGTTGGTATAGAAGAACCTTTACCTTGGCCTTGGACTTCGGCTCCTTGACCTTCCCTTCAACTTTTCAGCTGGTTCTAGTATCCTTCCTTTATGACTACAAACCCAAAAAAATGCATAAACTCAAATAAATAGAAAGAAATGCACAATAGGTTTATGTATTCAGAAGCCCGAGTCATCATAATAAAAAATAATTCAAAAGATCGAACTCCCTGCAGACCATCATAAGATAGTGCATCTACATATGCATTCAAGCATCTAAGCAGTAACAAAAGTGACTCACATCCGTTCAGCATCGGGGCCGTATTTGGCAAATTGAACCATTATCTCTCTGCCATCAACAACTCTTCCTGAAACAATAGCATTAACATAAGCACCTGACACTTTAGAATTCGTAAAGCAGATCATTAAAAACAAATAAAAATCCAGTCTTCACCATCAAGCTTCTCCACTGCCTTCTGGGCCTCATCAGCATACTTATATCGAACAAAGGCAAATCCCCGTGAATCGCCAGTCCTATAAGCACCGAAGGAAAAACACATCCAATTGTATTCATATACAATAACTTCCACTCTACCAAATAAAAAACTTCAAGTTATCATTTTCATATTGAAGATTATCAACTACTTGATATTTGGAAAGTAAAAGGACAGGCCACAAGCCTAGAAGGTTTCGAAAATGTTACTTCTTCCATTCCAAAAGCACTTTGGCTTTGTACGAGGTACAGGTTACCTTTCTGATTCAAAGCTTTATGCTGTAAGACAGCCATCTATGTATAAATCATCTTAACAAATACTATTGGATAGAAGATGTTCAGCATGTAACAAAATCCAACAAATTACGGTCTCAATATCCAAACAAATATTTTCGAAAAAACAAATTCAACAACTTTGGTATACCAAAAACGTTAAACAAGCAATCACATTTAATTGACATTGATAACAATTCGAATACAAAACAACTGCAAGCGGTCGACCGATACGGTCTCAATCCGATTATCGCACGTTAAACAGTAAATCAAATGAGGGAAATTGTACCTTCGATCCCTAGGGATGAAAACATCAACAACCTTCCCATACTTATCAAAAAGAGGGAACAAATCATCAGCAGTTGTACCTGGAGACACAAAAGGCGTTACACAAATTGCAGGTTTCATGAAGAAAAAAAAATTAAGAAATTGTGAACCTACGGAAGGTGATGTTGAGAACGAGGAGCGAGTAGGTGTCTCTGATGTCCGGCGGGCCTGCTCTTCCAAAGTGCGACATGATTACGTCGTCTTCAGGCGAACGATTTTAGGGTTTCTTGAGCTAGGGTTTGTATATGTGATGGATGAATTCTATCTCTTACCAACGCAGCGGCTGCGAGCGAACGGATAAATCATTAAATAACCCAGAATATTTTCATAAACCCCCTTCAAGTTTGTGTTTTTTCTATATAAGACCCTAACATAGAGAAAAATCACATATATACCTTTCCTTTGAATAAATACATTTTAACAATTATATCATGTTTATTTAATTTTAATAAAATAAATAAGAATCATCTTCAATAGATTCTTTATAATTTCTTTAAAATAAAGAACTAAAAGTTAAAATCTTTAAAAAAAATTACATTCACCTCCAACAGATTCTCATTCTTAAGTACTTGATTAAATTGGTTGATTGTTTATTTATTTATTTTTAGCATTTATTTATTGTCATATTTTTTGTCCATGATAGATGAAGGTACTTCGTTTACATAAGATAACTATTCAACTTTTTTTTATGATTATGATGCAGAAGTTGAATGTAATTATACAACTGTTTTTATAATTACTAGAAGAATACTCGCACAATGCAGCGAGATACATCTTCATTTTAAGGGGTGTTTGGGATTGCTTATAAAAACAACTTATTGACTTATTCCGGTGTGACACCGATAATAAACACTTTTAAGTATTTGGATAAACAACTTATACCGGTGTCAAACCGGTAATAAGAAGTTTTTGAAGAAGTTAAACTCTTTTGACTTATAATAAGTTGATAAGTGTTTTTGTAGAAAAGCATAAATTGTTTTATTTTTTGTCTTTGTTAATATAATACGGTTTATGTCGTTTTGAGAAAAATATTGTTTTTACTTTTGAATAAAAATAAATTTGAAGATATCATAAAATTTTAAAAAAATATATCGATATTAAATTATTAATATAAAATTAACTATTTAAAAGTTCTCCTTTTTTTTATACAATTCTTTAATTCAACTTTTTATTATAATTTAATTTAGGTCTAATAACTAAGTAATTTATTTTTGACTTAACAATATAATTTTTATAAAGATAATAAATTATGTTAGAACTCAATGATTATCCTAATTATATTTTAGATTTTTTTTATTTAAAATGAGATGTTTATCCTATATTTGATTATGTTTATCTGTAGTTAGTTATACGAATTAAAAAATAGAGCTTTAATAAGTTGTATCTATGCACAATTTACTTGTAATCTTATATTTTATGTAATATACATTGATAAACAGTACTTCATGCACAAAGAATGATTTTTAATAATTTTTATCAAATGCTTTATAATATAGTATAGATGATGAGACATATTAATGTTTTTACCTTGTATTCAATATCTACATTGTTTTTGTTGTGTTCTTGGGCTTATTAATCTTCAAGGATGAAAACTAGTAAAAGTGACTTTTGTAACATTACACCCTTAAATCCAGAAAACCGACTAATTTAAAATTTAATTTAAAATTTTAGATGATACATCTAAGGAATGAATTCATTATGAATGTCAACATTTGATTATCTAAATGAAAATATAAGATTTCCATCAACAAATAACAATTCAAACTTTACACAAGGTATATTGTAGGGACGGATGATACTAAAACCCAATGACAGTAGCTATCTCCATATTATGGAAGGCTTTTCTGGATAGCTAACTTTTTCTCGTGCCTCTAACTAGCACTCAACTCTTTATAGTGTTGTTAGTATCATTTTCCAACAAGGACATGATGTGCATGCCAACAAGTAAAAAGAGTTAGACTTAACGTCTAGTGAGTTCAAACAGTTTTCATCGTAATTATAAAACTGAAAAACTGCTTATTTAAATCATAAATCCTCAAATGAAATTTCTTTATCGCAAAAAACATCTTTCCAATACCCTCCATTTTAGTGATGGTAACTCTGAATCAAAACACTCATTCAGATATGAAATCAAACCCAATATCCACTCAAAACATGAATAAGATATGATATTCAAATACTAAAAACATGGATAAAACTCTATTATCCAAAACACCCAAAAACATGGAATAGGTTCAATACTCAAAATCACAAATCATGGATAACATACCATACTCAAAACGTCACTGAAAACATGGATAATACTCAATACCCAACACAACACCTTTTGGTAACGGGAAGACTCATTTTCATTTATTGTGTTGAAACACAAAGTAAATTATTCATCAACATTTTCAAGTAGCACCCTAAGGTCACGGTCCCGGTGCCCGACTCCTCACAAATTCATCATTGTAATACCTAAGGTAACGGAGCCCGACCACACAGGAGTCCATCATTGTAACCTTGGTGTTTGCTTACACACCATAGAGATACACCTGTAAGCTAATGATCATGAGGCCCGACTCCACACAAGTTCATCCTTAAAGTACCCCTGATGACTTAGTGTTAGCTCTACCTGGCCAAAGCCTTAAAAACAAGGGTCCCAATGCCCGACCCCTCACAAGTTCATCATCGTAATACCCAATGTCCTGGGATCCGAGTCAACAAGATATAACCTCCACAAATACCCTCGTCCCGGAGTCCAATTCACCTGTATTCCTTTCTACAATATTGAATATGGCCCCAGATTCTAAACGATATGGGTTCCTCTATGTAATACCAACTATTGTCCCGAAGTCCAACTCATAAGAGCTCCTCTCCGCAATACCGCATCGACCACATAGCTTTCTCAAAGCACTGGTCTCCAAGTGAGAACATCAAATATCCTCATTTAACAAAAAGACTGACTCGCATGCCTATGAATTCAATGCATTACAGTTTAAATTACATGATCCTAATTAAATGACCAACACACTCAAAACATCTAATTCTCAAAGAAAGATGCAATAAATGCAAATCAAGCCCAGACTTATGAAGGTGATTATAATAAAAAAAAACATATAAAAGTATATAAAAACGCAGCGGAAATAATCACCGAAACCGGATCAACGTATTGCCAAAAGATTAAACGATAAAACAAATAACGATATACCTTTGTAGCGTGATTTGTAGATGAAAGACCGTGTTCACTTGCAATGCTTTGAAACCAAGTATTCTAGAGAGAATACCTCTAGAGTAGTCCACACTACACGTCTTTGATCACCACCGGATACTAGTCCTCTTAGTAACGAACCTTTTTACACGAAGAACGAGTAAGAAGATGAAAAACCAAAAAAACCCTAGGAAACCCTAGGGTGGGCGCCGTATTTAGAGAGAGAGAGGAGGAGGAAGAGGAGTTATCTTTTCATTAGGTTAATTACTATATTTATATAGGATTAACCCTAATGCTTCATTGGGCTTTTCCTTCTAACTCTTCATGGGCTTAGGATTTAATTAATTATAATGGGCTTGCCATTAACTTACTCCAATCCCAAATTATTAAGTCATACTTAATGATTAAGTCCCATGTAAATACCCCACGTTACTAAGATAATATATATAATGTAAATACAATAAATACATTATATTAAATGATGTCTCAGTGTATATGTGTGTGACCCTATAGGTTCACGTGTGTCTAGCCATATAATTATTTATTATGACACGAGCATATTCCAACAACTTAATCAATGAGCAAATTAAACCGAACAAATATCCCAAAAACTCCAATGGGTCAAAATCAAGCCAATAACACCACACTTATTTGACTACTCAAATAAAAATTCTATCATAAACAATAGAACACATTTAACCGACATTCATGCAACACATGTTCTAAAGTACGATTGACTCAAAAACCTCTCATTTGTTAAGACAATTCATTTTCCAAATGAAATCATATATTTTATATTTCCAAAATGTCTCGTAGCAGAATAATGTGCATTTTAAAAACGGTTTATAAAACCAAATACACTTAAAGTGCATTAATCATCAAATAACCACCATTCATACGATAAATCATCAAATAACCACCATTTATACGATAAATCATCAAATAACCACCATTTATAAGATAAATCATCAAAATAACGTACTTATTATGATTTATTATCGAAATGTCTAAAAACCCCAAATATAGACATTTTTATAAGATTTATGAAATCAAATGTGCCAAGAAAATGCAAATCTCATCAAATAAATCACACATTTGATAAAAATCAAGTAAAATACCTTAAGACTTCAAAATAGACATTTTGACATGTACAAAGTTTTCACAAACCAACTTGAACTTACATTGTTAGATTAAGTTAAACATAGATCCCAAACTCAATCTCTACCTTCCATTGGTGAACACTTTAGATTCCCAAGATAAACTTCCAAATCTATGATGCAAAACTCTCAAGAACACTCTCAAGCTCTAGCAAAGCACCAAAAGAAAACAGGAGCTTGTGGATGCAAAGTGACCAATCCTAGGTGAAGAAATGGTAGTTTAGGAACTTATCTCCAACCTCTAGGAACTCTAATATCGCCAATGATGACTCCAAAAACCCTTCAAATCGAACATTGAGCCTCAAGAATATTCAAGGTAAAAAGAAAATGGAGATGGAGAAATCTGGGGTTAAGAAACGAGGAAGAAAACCCCTAAACCAGACATGTTTAGAGCTAACAAGCCTTAATGCGAGTCACATGGAAAGTCGTATTCATCTCTAACCGCACTATGTCTTTGTTTTTCATGCATGAATAAATCTCCAACCATCTTAATTGTGCAAATCAAAATCGAACAGATCTTTACCCGGAGTAGAGCATAAACCTAAGAAGATTAAAGACAAGAAATTAATTTAATAGCTCAGGTATTGTTATTTATGATATTGATCTGATTCAAGATCATCGACAGGGAATGCATTCATTGAACCGATAGTTATATAAAACCCTCATAATTCATCATCTTTAATACCATTCGATAATGTGATTAATCATAAAATGTAAGTCCGAAAATCATGGATGTTACAATATTGAATTTATTGTTCGTGGATAAACTTGGTGTTATATAATAACTTGGATATATGAAGTTTTAAAAGATGGTTGGAATACATTGGAAACATTTGATGTATGCCCATGTTATTAGTCACTTCTCATTTGGTTTATATGATGTTTTTTGTTTCCACTTTGTAGCACATCAGATGTTTCCTTTAATATTACTCTT